CGGGCCCGCGCCCCCCCGGCTGCGCCCGCGGCGCGAGCCTCAGCTGGGCAGGGAGTGCAGAGGGAGCCGGCGCTTCGTAGCGCGCGGCGGGCTGGAGACGCGGCGGACCGACTTCCGGTTCCGCTGACTGTCCGGGTCGCGCCATGCCCACAGCGTTCGCGTTCCGCTGCCCTGCGCTGGTCTCCCGATTGGACTGGTTGTCAGTTCCAGGCCGCGGTACTTGCGCTGGGGCCTTGCACCCCGGTGCACAGAGGGGGACCTCGAGCGACTGCGCTCCGCACCCAGAGCAGTCCACCCATCCTCGAGGGTCTTCCCTCCACCGGCCTGGACTTCCAGCGTTCCTTGAGCGGTCGCGCTCGGCTGCTCCCACCTGTTCAACTTCCTCCTGCACGCTTGTCTCCATTCCTTCCTAAGGTGAACGTCGGCCTCGCACAGCTTCCACCAACCCACTCCGGTCTCAGACTTGAGCGCAAGTTCCTTTCCACACCGTCTTCAGAGCTGACTTCTTGAAATGAGTCTGGTGATCAGAAACGCGCAGCGGGTCATCCCCATCAGGAGGGCGTGTCTTCGCCAGAAGGTGGAGGCCGCCAGGAGGATTTTGGGTGTGCATAAGTTCGCACTGGGGCTTGTCTGCGTAGACAACAGGAACATGCGGCGCATCAACCGGGTCTACAGGCAGAAAGATGTGCCCACCGATGTGCTTTCTTTTCCGTTTCATGAGGTAAGCAGTACGACCCTTTTTTCATTTAGCCTGCCTTCCACAGTTCCTAATTAATTATACTACAGGCGTGAATTTTCATTTTCATTTCGAAAATGTTAAAATATTTACAAAAATAGTGTCAACCTAAAAAGGAAGGCTGACGCACAGTAAATGAAGTGAGCAAAGTATGTTTGAGTCACAAATTGCCCAGCTACACAGGTTAGTTGCCTAGAATGTGTGCTCCAGAATGACTGTCAGGTCATTTGTTTATGTAACAAGCAGAAGGTCAAGAAGAGAGGAGGTTAGAAGATGTTTGTCAAGAATTTCACCTGGGGGGACCAGCAGTTAGTGTAACGGTTATGTCGCTGGACTCCCACGTAGTCCACCGCTTTTAGAGTCCCGGACCCGGTGGCTTAAACTCACGCCAGGCGCGTGTGCCTGCATGCCCAAGATCCCGAGAATGGAGGAGAAGGGATTGCAGCATGGCCATCCCCGCTGGGGGGTGATTTCTCGCTTTCTATCTATCTGTCTCTGTCTGTCTGGCGAATGCATGCACCCTATAGCCAAAACCTCTCTCAAAAAAAAAAAAAAAAAATTTCACCTGGGGACCCATTGTAGTGCAGTAGTTAGGTACTGAGGGCAGGGAGCTCTCCTGTGGCCCATCAGAGTTTGAGTCCTCACTCAAAACAAAGCAGTTGAGTGAATTAGCAGGATCCTGACAGGACAGAAAAATGAGCCAAAAAAGGATTTCAATGTGACCCAGAGAAAGAAAGAAAGAAAAATTTAAAAATTTACATTGGTCCATTTAAAATAACTTGGGCTTAGGCCCACAGGTGGCGTGGTGGTTAAAGTGTAGGACTGGACTGCCATGTGGCCGTCCAAGATTCAAGTTCTGGACTTGGTGACTTGCTTTCTTACTTTCCCTGTCTCTCATACTGTCTCTGGTCAAATTGAAAAATAATAATAACAAAAAAAATTAAATAGAAAAATAATTAAAAAAAAAAAAAAAAAAACACCTCAGACTTGCCAGCTATGGCCTGGTGCTTAAGAGACATTGGATCCCACAGCCATGCACTTCTAGTCCCAGAACCAGCGGCTTGAAAAACATGCCAGATGCATGTCATACATACCCAAAATCCCAAAAGGAGAGAGAAATGGAGGAGAGGAGATTGTGGCTGTGACTGTTCCCTGCGGAGGGGGTATGCTTTCCCACCCCACTAGTGTACACATGCACCTTTTGGCAAATTCATAAATAAAATAATTCAGGCAACTGGCTATACATTATTCTTTACATCATGGATTCTGGACACATTTTGATGAAGAAAAGGTAGGGTTCACATTGTAAATTGAAACATGCCTTTTGGGCAATAACCCCAGTGGGTAAGGGGGCATAACTAAGACTTGTGTACTCGTGCCTCTCTTGGAATCATTGAACCTTAGATTTCACAGATTGCTCTGAACTGCTTTTCTTTCTAAGTAGAGAGAGCCACCTGATCAACTCCCAGAGATCAGTCCCCATTACCCAGGGCCACAATTCCCTGTTAAAGCCAACAGAAGAGGGAAGGTGACTGGATTCCACCTCTTTGCTCCACCCTCTTTACTTTAATTCACTATCAGTTAATTAAAAGAGAAATTTAAAGTTTCTCTGCAGTTTTAAGAGTGACTCAGTAATGGATATATATATGGATTGAAAATATTAGAAGAACTGTGGGGTTGGCTCTCGGGCATAGTAGGTAAGGCAGTTGGATCCCACATGGCCAACCATGCAGTTCCAGTCTGGATTTTGGCTTGAGAAACACTCAAGACTGGGTGCATGTATTTGCATGTACATGTATATGCACTCAAAATCCTGAAAGGAGAGAGAGGTAGAGATGAGACTGCTGTGTGACTATTCCCATAGCGGGTATACTCTCCATTGCCTCTGTCTCAGTCCCTCCAACAAGCACACATGCCCTCTATTTAAAATAATAATAATAAAGTAACTCTGAAAATAAAAGAACAGACGGATAAATATATTCTTTTTCTTTTTTAAGGGTTTTTGCCATAGGGTACAGGTACTTGCTGGAGAGAGCTGAAAAAACAGAGACAGTGAGGGAACCAGCAGTTAGCGTAATGCCTATGTCGCTGGACTCCCACGTAGTCGACCGCGGTTCATGTCCCGGACCCGGTGGCTTAAAACTCACGCCGGGCGCATGTGCGTGCGTGCCCAAGATCCCGAGAGGAGAAGGAGGAGAAGGGATTGCGGCGTGACCATCCCCCCTGGGGGATGATTTCTCGCTTTCTGTCTCTCTGTCTTTCTCTGTCTGGCGAGCGCACGCACCCTACAGTGAAAATCTCTCAAAAAAAAAAAAAAAACAGAGACAGTGAGAGGGAAAGTGAGAAGTTACCCTCCAGAGGCGATGGGCCATACTGCAATCCCTTCTCCTCCTGGGATTTTGGGCGTACATATAAATGTACCTGGCCTGATTTTTAGGCTGCCAGGTCCTGGAAACCAGCCCTAAACCACTATGCCACCTGCTGGTCCCAGGTGGATAAATTTTTTTTAAAGAAGTATTTATTTAATTTATATTTATTCATTCATTTATTTACATTAATTTGACTAGAGAGAGAGAGAGAGGGAAAGTGAGAAAGCAAGCCACCAGGTCTGGGACTTGACCATGGTCAGCCATGTGGGAGTATCCAGCACCTTAACCACCATGCCATCTGCTAGCCCCCCAGGTATATAATTATTTTCAACTAGGGATCAGCAGTGGCATAATGTTTAATGTCACTGGACTCCCATGTACTCAACCACGGTTTGAGTCCCAGACTCAGTGGCTTAAACTCACACTGGGCACATGTACGTGTGTGCCGAAGACCCCGAGAAGAGAATGGAAGAAAAGGGATTGCAGTGTGGCCATCCCCCCGGGGTGTTGTTTTCTTGCTCTCTGTCTTTCTGGCAAGCGCTCGTACCTTATAGAAAAACCTCTCCGAAAAAAAATTTTTTTTCAACTAATGTGCTCCAAATATCTATCAAGTTACTGTTTACATTATGTAAATGACTCATTCAAGGGTTTGCACTTTGCAAGTAGTAGCATAAATCAGAACAACCCTTTTTTTTTGTTTTTTTGGAGAGGTTTTTGCTATAGCGTGCGTGCACTCACCAGACAGAGAGAGACATAGAGACAGAAAGCGAGAAATCACCCCCCAGGGGGGATGGCCACGCCGCAATCCCTTCTCCTCCATTCAAATAATACTTTCAAAAGAGTTGTTCTGGGACCAGCAGTTAGCGTAATGGCTATGTCGCTGGACTCCCACGTCGTCGACCGCGGTTCGAGTCCCGGACCCGGTGGCTTAAAACTCACGCTGGGCGCGTGTGCGTGCGTGCCCAAGATCCCAAGAGGAGAATGGAGGAGACGGGATTGCGGCGTGACCATCCCCCCTGGGGGGTGATTTCTCGCTTTCTTTCTCTCTGTCTCTCTCTGTCTGGTGAGCACATGTGCCCTATAGAAAAAAACCTCTCAAAAAAAAAGAAAGTAATATTTGGCAATGTACATCAGGAATGTTTAAAACATATGTGTGTCACACCTAGGGAAATAAATCAAAAGGAGATAAAATACCTAATGTATAATATAAGATATATTTCAATGTTTACTCACTGTTTTCCGTAATAGGAAGAATTTGGAAGTATCTCAAATATTCCAGCCACTGGTGATGCTCAGTGCAGCAGTCTCAACTGCATGTACTGGTCTTGTAATCTTATGTGTGAGAAAATGTGAAAGGCTGTCTAGAACAAATACCCAGGGGAAAGGACAGAAATGTGAAAGTGTGTCCATGAGATGATTTAACCATGCAGAAGTTGAAGATGTGTGTGATTCAGATTGGGAGGGGTGAAAGAAATGGAAAGCCATTCATTGACAAAGTATTGTAGGATGCTCTTAGGTCACTCGTATGTCAAGCTGTGCAGTCCACCCCAACAGACCACGTTGGTCCTGCAGTCTTGGGCATGCAACTGGAGAGCCATGTGGCCAGAGAGCAAGTACTTATCTGCTTGGGTACTACCAAGCTGGGGTCTTCTAGGATGAAGTGTTAGTCTACAGGCAGGTTACTAAGGTGATGTTTCCTAAGTCTGTATTTCCTCACTTTCAGAATCTGAAAACAGGTGAATTTCCCCAGCCTGATTTTCCAGATGACTACAATCTGGGAGACATTTTCTTAGGAGTGGAGTATATCTTCCAGCAGTGCAAAGAAAATGAAGATTACTATGATATTCTGACTGTAAGTAGGGATGTCCTGGCCGATAAAACATGGACCACACAAAGGGGTGGAGAATTTGGCCTGGTGTCCACCCTAGGTCCAAGGGCACGGTAAGGAGAGAACCTATACAAACAGAAGAGAGAGTGCCCTAACCAAGTTGGGTCTGCCTGCCCCATACGATGAAGAGTCAGGGGCCTTCTCAGCTTTTATCTCAGGATGGGTAGGCTGCTCTTACCTGACTCAGACCTTCTGGATCTGTGCTGCCAAAAGTGAGAAAATGGGGGGAGTCGAACCTCCAGGACTTTCTAGCTCTATTTCTCTTCATCTTCATGCAAAAAAAAAAAAAAAAACAAAAAACAACACAACAACAACAAAATGGGATTCTGGAAGCAGTATGTGTGATTGAATAGTATTTAACTGGCTATAGATTCAACTGAGGAACTGTCCCCTGGGACAGCCATACACACCTAAGTCACAACCCGGTGATACTGCCTATGGGGAGGTGAAGGGTATAAATAAGCCTTCTTCCTGAGAGTGACAGGAAGTGACCCAGCAAAACACTCAGCCCTGGGGGCTCTGTAGACATATGCTTCCACAGTCCCCACCGTTGTACCCCCAGAAAAATCTGTTCACTGGCCTGCCCCTGATATTACCTCTCTGTGGGTAATATTACCCACATATTACCCTGACAAGAGGGCCAGCTCCTCACTCCTAGGACCCTATCCTCACCAGCACAGGCCAAGCCAGGTATGCTCCAGGCTGACTCCCAATTGCACCCTTCTTCCACCCACTCCCTTTCTTGTCCTCATACAGCTCCAGGTACATCTTACCTCCATACCCTCCTTCCACCTCCCCAGCCCATGCCTACCTCTGTCTCTTGGCTGCAGCGTCCCTCCCTGCTCCTCTTCCCCACCACTTCCTCAAAGGAAGGTCCTCACAACCTCCTGGTTCAGAGGCTTCTCCAAGCTCTGGGCCTGGTACCCTCCGCAGTGGGCTTTATTCCAACCCTGTCCCAGGTGGAGGCAGGCCATAATGAGACCTCTACCTCTGCCTCCAGACCTACTTCTACCCACTCATTCCACCTCTATCCCCTCAGCCCTCCTTGACATCTACACCAGGAGCCGTCAGGTCTGCCCCGTTTACTCTCTTCTCTCCCACCCCATTAGTGCACTTGACCCTCCCAGGACTGGGCCTGGGGTGCCTTCCTTCTTAGCTCAGGCATGTGGCCCCACTTCCCCTTCCTTCTCTCTAACCACCTGGTACTTTCTCCTACCTGCCTGACTCCTTTCATTAATGTCTTCTACACTCTGTCCTTGCCAAGGGTACCTAGCAGATGTTTCCAAAAGGCTACCTCCTGCTTGATCTTCCTCCAGCTGTGTTTTAATTATCCTGACAGGTGACAGCCACCCATGGACTCTGCCACCTGCTGGGCTTCACACACAACACAGAGGCTGAATGGCAAAAGGTATGAGTCCAGCTGGCCCAGCCTACTGGGAGATGGGCTGGGGGTGGGTGTAGAGGTACATTGGTTCCTGATGAGGCATCCCATGCCTCTGCCCAGTCCCACCCCCACCACTACCATGTACCTGATGGCCCCAGGCTCTCCTGGTCCTGCCTGAGAAAAATTCACACTTACTCGTTTGTTTTGTTTTTATTTGACCACAGAGAGACAAAGAGAGAGTGAGAAAGGGAAGTGAGAAGGTAAGCTGCCAGGTCCAAGACTCGAACCACGGTCAGTGTGGGAGTCCAGCGCCCTTAACCACCACGCCAGCTGCCAGCCCCTACACTTATTTGTTTTAAATACGAGCACCCCAGATCCTTCTAACTCACTACTGAAAGGATGGCTTAGGCAGACAGACTGAAAGCTACTCTTCTCCTGGGCACTTGTGGCAGATACTTGGCCAATAGCTTAATGTTTAGAAATCCTTTCCAAGAGAAATTATGAGTGCACACTCAGGGTCTGGATGGAAACCTGTTGTGTGAATGGAATCAGTGTTTTGTTTCCTCTGAGGGTGCTGTTATTACTCCATTTACAAAAATCTGTGTTGCTACTTCCTATTGTGTTAATAGATTCAAATTATATTTGCGATCAAACAGCCCATTTCCCTGAAAGACAGGACAGATATTTTTTTCTTGATAAAAAAGAATTTGATGTAGTTGGCTGCTCTGGCCCCCAGGCCCTGGGTGTTGCCCTTGGCTCTCTCACTTCTTTACTTATCCCCATAAACTTCCTGTATCCTCCAGCCTGGCCAGCTGGGGGAAACCCCAAGCTCTGTCCTCAGCCTTCAGTGCAGCCTGTCGGTGCCCCAGGGTTGGGCTCAGGGCCCTTCCCCAAGGGGACTTGTCCTCAATCACTCCTACCTGCTTCCCCCAGGCCAATCTAAATCCTGCCCTCCCCAGTCTGTCTGGCTCATTCTTCCATGGCCTCGGGCAGTGCTCCTGCTCCTGTCTTATATCCCAGTCCCACCCCACCTCTCCATCGGCCCCCTCCCCCACACAAACCTTCCCACACTTTCCCTCCCATTGTATTCTCAGGTGCCTGCAAAGGTGAGCAGAACAGAACCCGGACAGAATTCCAATCTGTAGGAGTCCACCTGCCTGAACAAGGCACTGACAGGTAGGGCGTCCAGTCCTTGGGGAGGGCTTAATGTGTCCTCACTCTCTTCCAGATGTACCAGAAGGAGAAGCAGGTGCTGGATGAACTGAGCAGATGCACCCGGACCAGGCTCCAACCTCTGAGCAAGGGCCTTTTCTGATGACCTTAGATCCCCTGACACCAGGATGGAGGGTATGAGAGGTGGGCTCTCCCCTTGGGCCCGGCAGACCTATGGCTCCTCAGACTGGGCACAAGCCCAGTAAATTCCAGGAGTGAACCTGAACATAGATTTTTGTTCATTATTATGATTGAAATAATTCTAAGCCATTGGAATTAAGAGATGGAACATATAAACCATGCTCTTCTTTGGGCATCTGTGATGCCTCTGAGTTCCAGTGTTTCCCCCACTTCAGAACTGACCAAGCAGGCTGGCACCCTTCCTTCCTGCTGGGGTGTGCTCTTTCAGGTGGGCCATTAGCCCCAACCTCAAGCACTCTGTCCACTTCAGCTTTACCTTCAAGGAGAGTAATAATAAGCCTGAGGGGCCAGCTAGCACCAGGTCCACGGTACTGACCCACAAGGACACAGATTGCTCTATCCAGTGTTCTCTCCTGAGGTGTATTGCCTGTGGCCTATCCTTGCTTGAGGAACCTATGATCTGGCATACCCAGGACATTTGAGTCCCCAGAGACTAGAACCGCAGGAGGCAGAAAGCCAGCTCTGAGGAGGGACAGAAAGTATTACTGGGCTTTCCCCACAGTTCTTTTTTTTTTTAAATTAATTAATTTATTTTTAAACAATCATTTTATTTTATTTTATTTATTTATTAATTTTAATCTGACCAGAGAGACAGAGAGAGAGAGAGAGAAAGCAAGCCAACAGGTCCAGGACTCGAACTGCAGTCAGCTATGAGGGGGTCCAGCACCCCTAACCATTATGCTACCTGCCAGCCCTGTCCACCACTCTTTTTAGAAAATCCTGACTCACCGGCAGATGTCCTGCTACATCTTAGGATGCACATTAAAACCTGCAGGATGGAGCCAGCAGGTAATGTAGTGGTTAAGGCACTGGACTCCCACATGGCCAACTACGGTTCAAGTCCCAGACCTGGCAGCTTGAAAATCACTCCAGGCATATATGTATGCATGCCCCAAGTCCCAGGAGGAGAATGGAGTCGAAGGGATTGTAGTGTGGCCATGCCCCCTGGGGAGTGATTTCTTACTTCCCCTCTTGCTGTCTCTCTTCTCTCTGGTGAGCACATGCACCCTATGGCAAAGACCTTAAAAGTAATAATAAAAAACTCCCTGTGGGCTAGCAGATGGCATGGAGGTTAAGGCAGCTGGATCCCACATGGCCAGCTATGGTTTGAGTCCCACACCTGGAGGCTTGAAAATCACACCAGGCATGTGTGTGTATTCAAAGTCCCAAAAAGAGAATGGAGGAAAAGAGGATTTCATCCCCCTGACGGGTGATTTCTCATTTTCTCCTCTCTCTCTCTGGTGAGCACACTCTGTTGCAAACAGAACACAAAAACCTGCAGACCCAGCATTGCAGAGGTATCACACTACTCTCTAAAATGCTACATCCTAGGTGCAGGCAGGTGGGCAAAGCCACCAGATACAGACACCTCAGGTCTCTAGAGGGATCCTAGTGATGAAACAGCCTCTCGGAGACTCTTTAAAGCCCTATAAGTCAATAATACTATCATGTTGGTCATTTATCTCTGCCATTAAGCAATTCAGAAACATGGACATCACTCCCACTGTGTTTGCTTGTCTTAGCCTGGACTTCCCTACTGGCTCTCAGGAACCTAGAATAGGCCAATGTATTCCCAGTCATTGCTGGCTATGTATGACCTGCCTGCTCTTAAGATTGTTTGCCAGTTTAATGTTTAATACAGGAAAAGGAACAGAGATAACCCCAACAAAAGCTCTTGGGTCCACAGTCCTTTCTATCTTGAAGAGACTGCAGGAGTCCTGAGGCCAGCTGGTCCTATCCATGGGTATTTTGGAGATGATTCCTAGATCCAGGGCAGGAGAAGCCTCTGTTTACATGTTGTGGCACACTCGGGGATCCTCCAGGGTATAAGCCTCGGGGTAGAATGCAGGGAGAAATGCTGAGGGTCAGGAGGTGGGGGAAGCATCTTTCTTTGCTAATGCCCAAATACTTCCGAAGGACTGGTTCAGCCCCTGCCCCCCTCTTAGATGTGGCCCCAGCCCAAGTACAGGCCAGCCCAGGTCAGTGGTACCTTCCTCTCGGGCTCTCACAGAACCCAGATATTCTTGAATGCCAAAACACGAATTTCCTTCATCCCTGCTAACCTGGCAAGGGTGGGCTTTTCCATGATGATCAACTTCTGCCAAACTTCTCCCCTCTATTGAATTAATAATTATGTTGAATAAAACCAATGAGAAATGCCATGGTAGAAAAAAACCAGTGCAAAAATAGAAAATAGGGTTAGACCTTTAATGTGTAATACAAGAAAAATGAAATTCATGCTTTTCACAAGAAAACAGGGTTTGGGATCACATTCAAAGGTGTGTGAAAAGGTGGTTCTGAGATGTCAGATGTCACTACCCTTAAAGTGTCACTTCCCACCCAGACCTATCCATACATATGAGCAGCACGAAGCACTCATGCTCAGGAGCTCAGCCGGGAGGAAGCCCACATGCCGCTGAGCTGGGCGCAGCTCCATGGTGGTCTTGCCTCCTACCTGTGGGATTCCGAGACACAAAGAGAAGGATGGTTGCTACCTGTGCAGAATGTAGAGGGTAGCATAATTTATTGTAAAAAGAGCTAATGAAATCATTCTTAACAGGAGTGTTTAAATAAAAATATTAGAACAGCTGGGAAGCATAATAAAGTAAATTAAAAGGCTAACAGAAAGTAAAGATTAAAGGCATATACTGATATGGCAAGAAGCCCCAACAGAACCATAAGAAACCAAAGAGAAAGAAAGCTGTCCTTTCCTCAAGTTCTTCAGGCACCTCTATACAGCTGCTTCTGAGTTATATCCAGAGGAAAGCCTTGCAAACTCATGCATAAATCTATCCATATTTATAGTACTTGTGTGCTCTTTTTCTATGTGTATGGCCCTCAGAAAGTTCATAGAAATACATATTATGAAAAATGGGGGGCCAGCAGGTGGCATGCTGGTTAAGGCACTGGACTTCTACATAGCAGACTGTGTTTCAAGTCCCAGGCCCAGCAGCTTTGCAAATCATGCAGGAGTCTGTGCATGAGTGCCCTAAATCCTGAGAGGAGAATAGAAGAGAAAGGATTTCAGCAGGGCTATCCCCCCCCCAGGGGTGATTTCTCGCTTTCTCTCTGTTTCTCTGGTGAGCACACACATCCTATAGCCAAAACCTAAAAAGAAAGAAAAAAGAAAAAAATAAGAAAGAAAGAGAGAAAGGAAAGATTGTAAGATGAGGAACTCATCCTAGATTCTCTAGGTGTGTCCTATGTCAAAAGAAACATAAGGCAGGAAACCAGCAGTTAGCATAATGGCTATGTCGCTGGACTCCCATGTAGTCGACTGTGGTTCAAGTCCTGGAACCAGTGGCTTAAACTCACGCCGGGCGCGTGTGCATGCGTGCCCAAGATCCCGAGAAGAGAATGGAGGAGAAGGGATTGCGGCGTGGCCATCCCCCCTGAGGGGGGTGATTTCTCGCTTTCTGTCTCTCTGTGTCTCTGTCTGTCTGGCAAGCACACGCACCCTATAGCAAAAACCTCTCCAAAAAATAAAAAAAGAAACATAAGGCAGAGGAAGTGGGAAATTTTTTTATTTTTGTAGAGATTTTTGCTCTAGAGTCCATGCGCTTGCCAGAAAGACAAAGTGATAAAGTGATAAATCACCCCCTACAGATGATGGCCACACCCAGTCCCTTCTCCATTGTCCTTTTGGGATTTGGGACATGCGTACACATGCGCCTGGCATAAGTTTGAAGCCTCCAGATCCAGGACTCAAACTGAGGTTGACTACATGAGAGTCCAGTGATGTAACCATTACACCATCCACTGGCCTCTAGGCAGAAGGAAATTTGAGACAGACTGAAGAGGAGAAGGCCATGTGAAGACAGAGGCAGGCACTGGAGTGAAGCTACCGCAGTCGAAAGAAAAACTGCATGGATTTTAAAACTTTGTGCACTAAAATTTCTACTTTAATTTTATTTCCATGGGCTTTTTGAAGCCCCCATACACACACAGGTGCACACACAAAGACACACAGAAGGGATCGCGTCACACAGTATTCTTCCGCTGTAGCGTGAGGGTGGCAAATAGGTCTCCCTGGTTACTATGTGTGACTTAGTTAATAGTATTTCCCCTGCACAGGAATGCTTACAATTTTGTGTGGTTAAAGCTATTGGTCTTTTCCGTTATGGCTTGTGAGCCATGTTTTTCTTAAATGCTTCTCTGATGAAGCCATTCTATTTCATATTCCAGTGGCTTCTATGGCCTCCATGCACATCTGCCTGGTTTTCCCCACCATACCAAAAGAGGGTGCTGAGCTATGTCAGACCCTGTGCTTACCACAGCCAGGGAGGAGCTCACATGCCTGGAGCCTGCGTGGGCATCATACCCTCAGGGGCCATCCTAAGGGAAAAGCAGAGTGGTGCCCCTGGGTGTAATCACTGCCCAGTCTAGTTCTCAGCTAACACAGTGTGAGAACCACCCTGGGTGGGGACACTCTGCAGCCCCGCTTGTGCTGAATACTCCATGGACATTCCTTTGGGGTTAGACAAATAACCCAAACTGCAGTCAGCTTCCCCAGGTCTGGCATGGGGCCCCAGTTACCTCTTAACCTGAGACAGACCTGCTGCCATGGGAGTCCAACCCAGTACACTAGCCTACCCCCAGACTCACGAACTGAGGGCAGGCAGGGTGGTGGCAGGACCAGCCATGTGGTGCACAGTGGGCGGGAAGCCAGCTGGTGGGAGCGTGGTAGCCGCAACGAGTGGGGCCCACATAGAGTAGCCAAGTGGGGTGCCAGTTGCAGATCCAGTCTGTAGTGGGGCAGGGGGTGCATAGTGGTGGTGGTGGTGTACCGCGGGCAGCTTCTGTCTCTCAGCTCGCTGGACAACCGGGCGAGCCCACTGCGGGTCCTGGCACAAGAAATACATTAGCTAACTCAGGAAACTACCAGTATCCTTTTCCCAGTGCCATCCCTGACTGGGTGGTCAAAGCACAAGTGTATCTCCTCTAGAGGTAGCATTCCGGACCCAAACCACACAGTCCACCAACCCTCTCCTCTGGGTGGGCCTAGGTAGCATCAAGAGCAGACTCAGAGCCAGAGTGCCCTTCCAGAACCACACAGATGCTAAAAACTTCCCTCTGAAAAAAAAAAAAAAAAAACAGTTTCCATGCGGGTGGTCACCTTGGATTTGGGGCCTACTGGGACTGAGCCTACCTGTGGAGTGGTAAATGGTATTAGCCCTGCTGGGGGCAGGGCTTTGAGCATCATATTCTGCATGATGACCTGGTGCATCTGGGCGTTCTGCATTAGCATCATCTCCACCATGTCTGAAAGGAGAAGGCAGGACGCCAACCACCTTGAGATCAGAGCCTCTACTTCTCTGTTTTAAAAGGGTGCCTTCAAGCCCTTGAGAACATTCAGCACATGTGCAGGTCCACTAGGCCATGTTCTTTTTTGTTATTATTATTTTTTATATTTTCCCACAAATATTTACATATCAAAATATTTTTGTTTGTACTCTATAGTTCTTAACAATAAACTTTTAAAATTTTCAAAAAACTAAATTTGAATAACTTTGAAGATATTTTTTATAATTTTGTTTATGAATCTATAACAACAAAGACAGTATGCTTTTAAATATTTTTGAGAAAATATTTACATGTCAACTGTTGAGAAGCAAACTCCATGCACACAATTCACACATAAACCTTCCCAACTCAGTTCTGCCTACCAAGTATTCTGTGGTTTACTATCTGGTAGCAAAGATCATTCTCTTTTTCTTCCTTCAAGTCTTCCTCAAGGTAATCCTCTGGTTGTGGCCTCTCTTGCAATCTCGACAGATTACAATGCTGGGCTGGAAAAGTCCCAGTTATTTTATGTTATGAATTCTTTCAGATGGTGTCTCTAATCCTCTCTGCCAGGCAGAACTGTTTATGGTGCCAGGAAATTTTTCCAAGAACTTCTGTTGGCTTTCTTGAGATCTACCTTAGTTCCATCGTTTTCTAGTCATACCTTCAGATATGACATTTCAGTCAAAGCCCACTGGGCCACTTTCTGAGATGTGGAACTTCTAGGTCACAGAGTGCATGCATTTTAAAGTTTTATTGATGGTGCCCAGTTGGCCTCCAGTTTGCCTTCCTGCTAAAGATTTTTTTTCCCCAAAAGGCTTTTTCTGTACATGTAACAAAGGACTGTGATGGTTTAGCTCTGTGGTGTGGGTTAAGGCAACTGGATCCCACATGGCCAGCCATGCAGTTCCAGTCCCAGACCCAGATGCTTAAGAAACACTGGGCTTGTGGCCGGCGGGTGCCATAGTGGTTAAGGTGCTAGACTCCCACATGACTAACTATAGTTCAAGTCCCAGACCTGGCAACTTGCTTTCTCAATTTCTCTCTCTCTCTCTCTTTCTCTGTTCTACTAAAATAATGATGATGATTATGGTGAATAAAGTTAAATAAGATAATTATTTTTTAAAAAAGAAACACTGGGCTTACATGTCTAAAATTCTAAAAGGAGGGAAAGATGGAGGAAAAGGGATTGTTGTGTCACCGTGCCCTGTTGGGTGGTGCTTTTTTCTGCTCTCTGTCTATCTCTTTTTTGGGAAGCATACATGCCCTCAAGCAAACAAGCAAGAAAGAAAGAAAGAAAAAATAAATAAATAAAAAGGAAGGATTGTGAGATGAGGAACTCATCCTGGATTCTGTAGATGGGTTCTATGTCCAACGATAGATGTAAGATAGAGGCAGCAGGAAATTTGAAATAAACTGAAGAGACCATGTGAAGATAGAGGCAGGCTCTGCAGTGGAGCAACTGCAATCCAAGCTGCACCTGAGCCTCCAGAGTGGAAAAGGCTAGCATTGGAGCCTCAGAGGAAGTGGCCCTACCCACATCTTGACTTAGGACTTCTGGCCCCAAGTCTGAGAGGGAATAAGTGTATGTTGTTTTCAGCCACCCAGTTTGAGCACTTGGTTACTGTAGGCACAAAAGAGGAATGTATTTACTAACCCCGGGTGCCATAAAACATTAACTTTGACAGTGTGATAAATCAAGGTGTATTCTCCCATAGCTACTTGACCCTGGAAACTACATAGTCCTGAGGCTCTGACAGCCTCCCGCCCTCGTCAGAATGAGCAGAAGCTGCCTCTCATGGCTAAGGGGGCTCAGACAGGCCTACCTGGGAACTGGGCCACTTGTGGGGCCAGGAGGGCCAGATCCCTGACAACACAGTTGGGGAATATTGCTCCCTGCAAAATGAGGTGAAGAGGCAGAGCAAACAGTCCTACTCTGGGCAAAGCCCTGAGATCTTGGTCTGGGGCAGCCCCTGTCCACCACCACCAGCAGCAGGACCCTCTGAAGGGGCCTTTCCCAAGGCAGACCCCTAGAATCCACACTGAGCAGAATCAAGCATGAAAAGATCAGACTTTGGGACCAGCAGTTAGCGTAATGGCTATGTCGCTGGACTCCCACGTTGTTGACTGCGGTTTGCGTCCCAGACCCGGTGGCTTAAAACTGACGCCAGGCACGTGTGCATGCATGCCCAAGATCCCGAGAGAACGGAGGAGAAGGGATTGCGGCGTGGCCATCCCCCTGGGGAGTGATTTCTTGCTTTCTGTCTCTCTGTCTCTCTCTGCCTGGCTGGCGAGCACATGCGCCCTATAGCAAAAACCTCTCAAAAAAAAAAAAATTGATATAACCCTTAAGTATTGTTATATCCTCCTGATCAGTTGAGTCCTTTATCATTATGAAATTGTTTTCTTTATCTCTGAGAGTATTTTTTTCCTTGTATTAGCATAGCCACTCTAGCTTTTCTTCTGATTAGTGTTAGCATGGTATATGTCTTTCCATTCTTTCACTTATAATCTATTATGTCTCTCTCCGTCTGTCTGGCGAGCGCATGCGCCCTACAGCAAAAAACTCAAAAAAAAAAGATCAGACATTTAGACAAAGGGAACTCTAGAGGGTCCAGAAATAGACCCCCACTGTTGGTTAACCTGCCTCAGGACAAGGATGGCACTTCAGCCTAGAGGGAAGCAAGTGTCTTCACTAAATGGCACAAGCCCCATTAGTATCTATAGCAACAATATGTTCTTGATTCCTAATTCACAGGACATACAGAAACTCCAGATGGATTCCTGTGGTAAACAATATAGAACACTGTCTTGAGTGGTCAGACTTCTCAGGACACAGAAAGCACTGACCATAAGGAAAAATGCCTGAACAACTGAACTTTGTTAAAATTATGAACACCTAGGGCCAGCAGGTGGTGTGGTGGTTGGGGTTCCAGATCCCATGAGCCCAACCCTGTGATTCAAGTCCCAGGCCCAGCAGCTTGAAAAAAAAAAAAACACTGTGCGGACCCAGCAGATGGCTTATGGTTGTGCCACCAGACTACCACGTAGTCGACCTCTGTTGGAGTCCCAGATTGGAGGCTTGAAACTCATGCTGGTTGCATGTGTGTGCATGCCTAAGATATCAAGAGGAGTCAAAGAGAAGGGATTGCAACATGACCATGGCAGGGGAGGGGTGATTGGTGATTTCTTGCTTTCTGTCTCTGTCTCTGTCTCTCCAATGCACGCATCCTAGCTCTTAGAAAAAAAGAAAGAGAGAAAGAGAAAGAAAAATACACTGGGCATCTGTACATGTGTGCCTGTAATCCAAAGAGGAGAATGGAGGAGAAGGGATTGTGGCGTGGCCATCCTCCCTGAGGGCAATTTCTCGCTTTCTGTCTCTCTGTCTCTCTCTGTCTTTCTGGCGAGTGCACGCAGCCTATAGCAAAAACTTCTCCAAAAAAAAAAAAAATCACACTGAGTGCATGTGTGCCCAAAATCCTGAGAGGATATTAGAGAAGAGATTGCAACATGGCCATCCTGCCGGGGGTGAGAGAGATGATTTCTCACTTTACCTCCCTTTCTTTCTGGTGAGCACTGTATCCTATACCAAAAAAACTAAAATAAAAATAATACATTTTTTAAAAAAAATTACGGGGACCAGCAGGTGGCGTGATGGTTAAGGTGCTGGATACACATACATGTTCGACCATGGTTCAAGTCCTGGACCTGCTGGTTTGCTTTCTCAATTTTCCTCTCTCTCTCTTTCTCTCTGTCTCTCTCTGGTAAAATTAAAATAAAATGAATGAATAAATAAATAAAATTAAATAAATCCTTAAAAATTTTTTTAAGTTAAAAATTACAGATATCTGTTTTGTTTTGCTTGTTTGTTTGGAGCGGTTTTTGCTATGGGGTGCATATGCTCGCTAGAAAGACAAACAGGAACAGAGAGACAGAAAGAAAAAAATCACCCTCCAGGTGGGATGGCCAGACCGCAATCCCTTCTCCTCCATTCTCTCGGGATCTTGGGCATGCACGCACTTGTGCCTGGTGTGAGTTTAAGCCCCCGAGTCTGGGACTCAAACCACAGTCGACTACATGAGAGTCCAGTGACATACCATTACACCAACTGCTGGTCCCGAAAATTATGGACATCTGTTAATCCGAAGGTGCTATGAAGAGTGCGAAGGGGCAGGCAAAGAAAGGGCATGATGCCCTTAATGAACATATCGAAAAGGACTCATTACAGAAAATGTAAAAAATTCCTAGGAATCAGTAGAAGGCAAAAGGCCCGGCATGGTGGCACAGGCGGTAGGTGTCACTCCATGATGCTGGAGCTATATGGGATGGCACAGGGGTTGGATCCTGGGTTGACCTGAACACACCAGGCACAATATTCCTGACTGCTGAGAAGGCTGGGGGAAGAATTATGGCAAGGCAAGGCCCTTGTTGGGAGATCCCTGCATGCCTTCCTATCGGCCTCTCTCTCTTTTTTTAAAAGAAAAAAAAAATTTTTTTGAATTTTATTTGTGTACTTTTATTTTTTATTTATTTATTTTTTTAAATTCGACCAGAGAGGGACAGAGTGAGTGAGAAAGAGAGAGAAAGCTAGAAAGCAAGCTGCCAGGTCCGGGACTCGAACCACAGTCAGCCATGTGGGAGTCCAGCGCCCTTAACCACCATGCCACCTGCCGGCCCCTGCCTATCTCTCTTGAAAAAAGGAATAAACTAATAAAAAAGAGAGAGGCAGATCACCTAATTTTTAAAATGGGCAAAATAGGGCTAGGCCATGGTGTGGTGGTTAAGGTGACTGGGTCCCACATGGCTGATTGTGCAGTTCAAGTCTCGGCAATTTAAGAAACACACCAAGCACCCTGCATATATCCCCAAAATCCTGAAAGAAGGGAGAGATGGAGGAGGAGGGATTGCAGTATGACTATACCACATGTGGGGTACTTCCTTTCTCTTTCTCCTTCTATTTGTCCTCACCTTTCCCAAGTGGATGCACCCTCTGGACACTTCACAAATGGCAAAAAAAATACATTAAAAAGGTAAAGTGCAAATTAAAACCAGGATGAACTTCCATTGCATGCCCACTAAAAGTTGCAGAAATGAAAAAATCTGAAACTACCAAGTGTCAGTGAATTGCCATGGGCAACTGAAGTGCTCATTCCTCCCATGGATGTGCATGGGCATAACTACTTTGGGAAACTGTTTGCCAGAATTTCCTGACCCAACCACTTAATCCCCAAAAACTCCCTTAGAAATGTGTGTTTCCAGACCAGCAGTTGGCATGATAGCTATGTCGCTGGACTCCCATGTAGTCAACCGCGGTTCACATCCTGCAACCAGTGGCTTAAAACTCAAGCCAGGCACATGTGCGTGCATGCCCAAGATCCCGAGAGGAGAATGGAGGAGAAGGGATTGCAGCGTGGCCATCCCCCCTGGGGGGTGATTTCTTGCTTTCTGTCTCTCTGTCTCTCTCTGTCTGGCTGGTGAGCGTGCCCTATAGCAAAAACCTCTTAAAAAAAAAAGAGAGAGAGAGAGAGAGAGAAATGTGTGTTTCCATTCACCGAAGATGCTGGAAGGACCAGAATACCTAGTTACAAAAGAAGGGACTCCCATCAAGGAGTAATAATAAAATGCAATACTGTGGGAGTCTGAATAAAGGTGACCACATACTGATGCCACAACCCAAGCATGTATATCATTACATGACAGAAAGGACTTTGCAGGTGTGATTAAGGAACTTGCAATGAAGCCAGCCCTGTGCATTGGGAGCCAGATCTCACATGGCCAACCTCAGTTCAAATCTTGGCCTTGGTGGCTTGAAAATCATGCTGGGTACACTTGCATGTGCATGCCCAGAAGCCTGACAGAATGGGGAAGTGAAGGATAAAGGACAGCAACATGACTATGCCCCACTGAGGAGATTTTCTCCCTCTCTCTCTCTCTCTCTCTCTCATATGCCCTCAGACAATGAAAGAAAACAGAAACTTGAGATGAAATGACCGCAACTCAATGTCCATACATGGATAAAGAAAATATGGTGTATCTATATAATAGAATATTATTCAGCTTGTCACTTGCTACAACATGGGTAAACTTTAAAGACATTATACCAAATAAAATAAGTCGGTCACAAAAAGACAAAGACTGGGGGGTCAGCAGGTTGCACGGAGGTTAAGGCAGCTAGATCCCACATGATCAACTGCACAATTAAAGTCCTAGACCCAGCGGCTAAAAAGACATGCTGGGTGCATGTGCATGTGTGTCCAAAATCTCAAGAGAAGAATGGAGGAGAGGGGATTGTGCTGACCATCCCCCCTAGAGGGTGGTGGGGGTGATTTCCCACTTTTCCTCTCTTTGTCTCTTTTCAGTAAGTGCATGTGCCCTATAGCAAAACTAACGCACACACACACAGAGACTGGGGCTGGCCCCGTGGCCTAGTGTTTAAGGGAGTTGGATCCCATATGATTGACCAAGGTTCAAATTCTGGCCCCAGCAGTTTGAGAAACACTGGGAATCTGTGAGTGCATTTTCAAAATTCCAGAAGGATGGAGAAATGAAGGGATTGTGGTATGACCACACCACACTAGAGTTTGGTCTCCTTCTTTCTCCCTCTCTGTCTCTTTGTCTTTCAAGAAATCACATTCACCCTCTAGCAGTTCTAACAAAATCAAATATTTAAAAGTTATTTAGGGGCCAGCTGGTGGCATGATAGATAAGGTGACTGGCTCTTAAATGGCCCACTGTATGATTCGAGTCCTGGACCAGCAACTTGAAAAACACATCTGGCATATATGTGTACATGTCCAAAGTCCCGAAAAGAGAACAGAAGAGACGGGATTAGAGGGTGGCCATCCCCCCTGAGGAGTGTTTTCTCACTTTCTCTCTCTGGCAGGCACATGTGCCCTTATAGCAAATTTTTAAAAAATGATTATAAAATAAGCAATTTAACTATGCTTTTTATATAGTTAATCATTGAATTAGCTGGATTTGAACCACACGGCTGCCCATGTGGAATCCAGCACCACAACCTCCATGCTACCTGCTGGCCCAATATAAGGACTTTTTATAATTAAAATTATTTTCATGTTGATTAGCCAAAATGATTGTCCTGCTTACAAAGATATTCTTGCAGTAGAGAATTTTATAAACCCCAAACAATATTACTATAGAAGGCTTACCTTCCTTAATACTTCCCAACCTTTGAGTGGGGAAGACCTGAGGAGGAGGAATCTGTGCGATCAGTGGCTGCTGAGGTAGCTGCTGAATGATGGTGGCAGGAGGCTGGGGGACCTAGGAAGAGCCAGGTGATTAGTTATCTGAATGTGCCTTTGGAGCATGTTCTGCAGTATCCACCTACCCATCTACCCTCCTCCTTACCCATCTATCCATGCATCCATCACTTCTTTTTTTTTTTTTTTTTTTTTGAGAGGTGTTTTTTTTGTTTGTTTTTTTCTTTGGTGTAGGGTGCATGCGCTTGCCAGAAAGACAGAGAGAGACAGAGAGACAAAAAGCGAGAAATCACCCCCTCACCAGGGGAGATGGCCACGCTGCGATCCCTTCTCCTCCATTCTCCTCTTGGGATCTTGGGCATGCATGCACACACGCCTGGTGTGAATTTAAGCCATCAGGTCTGGGACCCGAACTTCACTCGGCTACATGTGAGTCCAGTGACAGCCATTACACCAACTGCTTGTCCCCAATGCATCCATCCTTTCTAGGAGAACCATAAATGATCAAACCTAAAGGCTAAAATGGAAAAATCCTTCAATCCGGGTGCCTCTTAGGAGATGATATTTTTAATGTTTGCATGTTTAATGTTTCCTGTCTTCAGTAAGGTAAACTAATGCCTGGTTTTGTTTATTTGGCTTTACTAGATGGATCCAGCACATGACATTGTCAGACGTTTTTATATTAGCCATTTTAATTGGATGTAGTGGTACCCTATTGTGACTTTAATTTGATTCTCCCTAATGACTGATGGTTGTTGGGTTCCAGGGGCAGACCTGTGCAGAGAACTGCGGAATTGTCTTACTGATGTTTGCTCAGTTCTGTCCCAGTGACCTGTCTCTCTAGGCATTGATTTCACCTGCCCTCCCCACGCTATCCTCAGGGTCCCTCCAAGGACTGATGAGAGGATCCGTGGAGGTCTTAATACAGTGCCCCAGACATGGCAAATGTGGCTACTGTCAGCTCTTAACAGACAGCCTCTCAAAGCACTTTCACAAAGCTGTAGGTTGGCCCCAAGGTAGTAAAGGTGTGAGAGACCCCCATTCTTTTTTTTTTTTTTTTTTTTTTTTTTTGGGCGTTTTTTTTTTCGGGCCCGGGGGTTTCGTACAATTCAGTCCATAGCACATTTTAATATTCAATGTTTTTAATGTTTTAAATTACACAGTGTTATACTAAACATATGTTATTTCAGTTTTCATGACAAAAAATGATAGCATGTAAGGTAAGGCATATGTTAATTAGTAAAATTTAACCACTCCATATGAGTATACATATATTTCAAAACAACATACTGTGCATGATAAATATATATGATTTTCATTTGCCAATTAAAAAATAAATATATGTTGGTTTATCTATTCTTTTTTTTTTTTTTTTTTGAGACGTTTTTGCTATCGGGCACGTGTGCTTGCCAGAAAGAGAGACCAGAGAGACAGAAAGTGAGAAATCACCCCCCAGAGGGGATGACCATGCCATAATCCCTTCTCCTCCATTTTCCTCTCGGGATCTTGGGCACACACGCATACGCGCCCAGTGTGAGTTTAAGCCACCAGGTCCAGAACTTGAACTGTGGTCGACTACATAGTTCAGCAACATAGCCATTACACCAACTGCTGGTCCCAGAGACGCACCATTCTTCAGATTAGATGTCACAAACCCTCCCCACATTTCTGTAAAATCTCACCTCTGTCCTCCACCCCACCATGAGATGCTGGGTTTGGCCTTCACCCTCTTACCGAGTGCTGGATGATCCTGGGTGGCTCTGGGGCCAGCAGGGGCTGAGAAGCTGGGGTGTAAACACCCACTGGAGACATCTCTAGGGGCAGGACTGGCCTGTGGGCTCCTCTGTCTGCCCCCTTCCAGGTATGGGCCTGGGAGAGCTCATCCAGGAGGTGCTGTTCCTGCAACCCAAAGCAGAGCCTCTACACCTTGGGGGCTGCAGCTGCCTGCAGCAGCAACCCCAAACCACTGTGGTCTCTCAGGGAAGCAATGCCACCTTCTGGCCATACCTGGAGCACACAGACTTGGGCTGCTGGGGCCCTGGGGTCAATGCAAAGGTGTACTACTCACCAGTAGTGTGACCTCCTCCACCTCCTCGGAGTGTGGTTGACATAATTATTGTCTGCGTGGTCATTCCCAGTGACTGCCCAGTGAGGTGTGGACAAAGACCCCAGGTACCCTAGAATTCTTCCTGCTGGGCCTGAGGTCTGCTGGGCATTACCACCTTTGGTGTGTGCAACCCAGGCAGATTCTCACAAGGGCCCATTGTGTCCTGGCTGGTCACCATTTCTCAACCACCCCCCAATCCTCTACAAGTTGCAAACTCTAAGAAGCATCCCCAGGTGTCTAGCAAGTTCTCCCCATACAGCCTTGGTTCAAACATGGTGGCTGGGCCTACCCTGAGTCTCTGCAGAAGGGCCTTCCTTCTCCTCAGAGCACTCTGTAGGGCATCGTCCTGTTCGTCTTGGCTTCCTGGAAGGAAGCAGGCAGGCATATACTTGCTAGGAAGGCATTAGGTCTTGGGTAGGCGACCTGGAATGTGCCAGGTGCTTCACATCCCTAGGGGGGAACCCAGAGACTCCTGGATCAGGCCTCCTGTAAACAGGTGTCCTAGAGAAGGAGAACTCTTGTCCTCTGAGAGTGATCCAGGGGACTCAGTCTTTGAGTTGGGATCTCTACAGTGGATCCTTTCTTTCCTGGAGCCTGGTTTCCTCCCTTGGCCTGAGAAGGAATTACTCCCACACACCTGGTGCAAGGCGGACCTCCAGGGAGTGGTCTGCACTCAAGAGAAGGCCCTGGCTGGATTCTGGCCTCTTTCCCCAGGCACAGTGGCCCTGCCTTCTGCCATGCCTCCTGGAGCTGGGCTGCTGGGGATGCAGAAAGGCCTCTCTTCTGGAGGCTCATTCTGCCCTTGCTGCCAGATGACCTGGTTTGGACTTTACTTTGTAGATATGGGGCCCCAGCCTCTACCAGCCATTCTTGGAGCTGCCTGAATGCCCCACTAGCTATCACACCATCCAAAGAACAGGAATTGCTCCTCCAAGCCTCCTTGGCAGTGACAAGTCCCACAGGTCCTGGGCAAACTCAGGGTTCAGGAATTAGAGAAAATGGGTCTGATCTGGGTGTGACTTCAGAGCTGAGCAATCTTTGCAGGTCACCATTCTCTCTGTACCCCCATCTCCTCACCTGCACAATGGAGATAATGAATGCACCCTTAGGGTAAGCAGACTAACAGTGCTAACACATAGGTGTGCGCGTTGTAGGTGAGAACAGAAGCCTTTCAATTCTGTATGTGAAGGAAGTGTTTTAGGGAGTCTTGGAAGTAACAGGAGGGAAATTTCCATGGCTGTTGTTTCTCAAGTCCCCAGTTCTGTACCTGGCACAAGGTGGGGGCCCTCAGCGTTCCCTTCCATGTTCTCTCGTTCTTGTTCCAGTCTCTGTGAGGAAAAGGGACCGTGACCAGGACATTGACCCCAGGATGGACTAGGGGGCTCCCCATTCAGTGCCAGATAGACAGGTCAAGAGCAGGAAGTTCTGGATAAAGTTGGCATGAACAGGTGGCAGGGTGATGTCTTCCTCTTAGGGACTGTATTGGCCATGCATTCAGTGCAGCACGCATGACCTGTCTTAACATCTAAGAATGCTGCTCTTATAGGGTTTTTAGGCAAATACTGCCCCTCGGAGTGGACACAGGACCCTAAGCAGAGCAACAAAGGCATCGTCTATCCTGAAGTCCCAGCTGGCTCCCATGACAGCAGCCCACGGGCTACCTGGACTTGAGGTGCAGGGTTGGGAGAGGCAGGTGGCAAGCACTAAGGCTGCAGAAGAGGAAAAACATTGATGGGAACCTGTGCTTCAGTGACCTATAAGGACAGGCCAGCCAGCTGGCCGTGGAGCAACAAGGGACAGTTGGGAAGCCCCTGGACCTTGCCTAGCCCTGGGCCCTGTGTCTGGCACCATCAAAACAGGGAATGTCCCTTAAACAAAGACACCTAGGAGATAGGCTCCGAGCATTCTGGCTTGCGGTACTGCTTGCTTCCTGACTGTGGAAGCTGCTAGAAGAGCTTGCTTAGTTCTGTTTAAATTAAGAAAGAAAAAGAAACCAAAGAACTTCAGTTCCTCATTACAAGTCTAAAGACCACTGAAAGGAGTTCTCTATGGAGGCAGGAACCTTTTACAGGCAGTTGGCAAAAGGCAGGAGATGTGGCTGTCCCCGCTTCGGTGTGGTTTTCTGAGCCTGGAGCTGAGCTCTTTCCAAAAGCTGCTAAAACAGGAGCTTCCAGTTCTGTCTCACCTGTCCCAGGAGCTTCAGTGTGAGGCGGGCCACCTGGTCTGCCACGGAAGAGTCCAGCATCGCGGGAGTTTACCAGCCGACTGGAGGGCAGGGCGCTGCAGCCGTGCTAGAGAAGCACTGAGCACTGGGTTGGGGGCTGGGTACAGAATCTCCTGAGTGTCTAGGTTTACGTCCCGAAGACTGGCCTTGGTGGACAAAGAGGAGCCAAGTGGTGGCTGGCAGCAGGCCCCCTTGGAGTGCAGGGCAGCAGGCAAGGTGGCCCCGGTTCTGTGGTGTTGCCAAGCTGCAGAGGGTACCGGGAGGCCCCACGTTGCCAGGTTTCCACCCGGAGTCACTCAAGCTCTGCCTTGTTCCCATGCAGGGGTTACCTGTAAACACTGATCCCCAGGTGTGGCTGGGCGGGACTGAGTAGAAGGCAACCAAAGGGACAACAGCTAGGGCCAAATGGAGCAGATTCCTCTGACCTGGGGACAGCCTTCCCTCTGCCCCCATGAACCTCCTGGCCTCAAGACAGAGCCCAGAACATCTGCAGGGCAGAGGCTGCTCCATCCTTCCTCATGCATGGCCAGGCCTGCCACCCTGCTCAGGGCCTCCAGGGAGCCAGCATGCCCTTTGCCCCTCCTAGGGACCTTTGGAGTAATAAGCGAGTGCAGCTCCTCCCCCCCCCCTTTTCCTGGACACCTAGGAGCTTTCAAGACCTAGGGCAGGGTGTCAAGGGGGAATCCTGTCTGAGGATTTCAGGGAATTCTGGGTGGCAGGAGGGGTGTGGTGAAAGGAAGGACAGATGACTCACCAACTGGCTTCGGTTGAGGGAGTTGCACTGTGGGATTGCCTCACAAGCACGTCCCTGTTTTTGGTGGGGACAGCACTGCCTCCACATCACCAAGAGGGGAGTCACCAGGGAGCTGAGGTGGAAGTGCACAGGGGGCACACCCAGGCAGGGACCTTGCATAATGGCTGCTTCCCATGAAGGTCAGGGATGGAAAACTATAGGGAGAGAAAGTGGCTGACCAATTTGCTTCTGGGTTGTGGTTAGTCCCCTACTATGTGGCTGACTGTCACAGACCCTCTTCCTTGAAATCATTCCAAGTCTGCAGTCTCCTCCAATCCTTCAGGATCCTGCAGAATTCTGCTAGACAGACAACCCCCACTCCCAGTAAGTTGCTTCATACAATAGCTTCTGCTAAGTTTTCTCCACTCCTGCCCCTTCCCTTAGTCTCTCTCTTATAAGACCCTCATTTGTGATCTCTGGCCACTGCAAACTATCTCAGAACAATTCATGTGTACTGACCCTCTTACTAGTATAAAAAACCCTCAGCTTTCAGGGTTGGTGCACATATTCCCATTTCCATCTAGCCTGGTTGCTGGTGGGGCTGACTGCAAGCCCCAGGATATGACCCTTATTTGCTACTGAGACATATAAACTCCCTTTTTTCTTATGCTGTTTGCTTTACAGTTGTTCTTTCAGGCTTGGCACAACTGACCCAGAAGCTTGCCAATTTTGTCCTCAAAGTCTCATAAATCATATACATTTCAGATATTGGTTACATGTGTCATCACTGAGTCATATGTATTTTGAGAACCTGGAGCTGGACTAAATGAAGAATAAAGGTAAAGACTGGCCAGTCCTCTGAAATGGATGCTTTGCAGAGGCAGCTCCGATGGCACCTGTCACCTACGGTCCTTGTGGGCAGGACTTACTGCTAATGGCTGCAAGTCCAACACACTTTTAGGCCAAGACTACTGAATGGGGAATCCAAGTCACCAACCTGAAAGTCATGGGCTAGTATCCTTGACTTGCAGTAGAGCATTCCCAGATGGTGATGTACTGGGGTCCTCACTATACTACTGCCTCAAGCAGAGCTGGACCCTGTTTTTAAGATCCAAGCTCATGGGGACCAGCAGATGGCGTAATGGCGATTTCACTGGACTCCCATGTAGTCGACTGCGGTTTGAGTCCCAGACCTGGTGGCTTAAACTCATATCAGACACATGTGTGCCCAAGATCCCGAGAGGAGAATGGAGGAGAAGGGATTGAGGTGTGGCTATACCCCCTGGGAAGTGATTTCTCACTTTCTGGCGAGTGTGCGAACCCTATGGCAAAAACCTCTAAAAAAAAAAAAAAAAAAAAGTAAGATCCCAGTTCAAGTCCACAGCCTTTCTGAACAGAGACAATTTTAGGACACATTCAAGCAGGATGTCTGAGTTAATCAACTAAGGGTAGCTAGGAGGGAATCAGTGGTATACATAATAATTCCAGTGGACATAGGTTTGTTAGGCTTTTAAAAACTAGCTTCTTAAGAACAGTTTTATTATAGTTTTTTTTTTTGTTATAGGGCATGTGTGCTCACCAGAAAGAGACCCCCCCTCCCCAGGGGGGGATGTTCACTCTACAATCCTTTCTTTCTCATTCTCCTCTTGGGATGTTGGGCACACACTCAGATGTGCCCAGCCTGTTTTTTGTTTTTTTTCTTTCCCATTTTTTTTTTGGGGGGGAGAGATTTTCACTGTAGGGTGCGTGCGCTCGCCAGACAGACAGAGAGAGACATAGAGACAGAAAGTGAGAAATCACCCCCCAGGGGGGGGATGGTCACGCCGCAATCCCTTCTCCTCCATTCTCCTCTCGGGATCTTGGGCACGCACGCACACGCGCCCGGCGTGAGTTTTAAGCCACCGGGTCCGGGACACGAACCACGGTCGACTACGTGGGAGTCCAGCGACATAGCCATTACGCTAACTGCTGGTTCCCTGCCCAGCCTGTTTTTCAAGCCACCAAATCTGGCACTCAAACTGCACAGCTGGCCATATGGTATCCAGCTACTTTCACTACTACCATCTGGCTGGCCCCTAAAACAGTTTTAGATTTACAGAAGAATTGGGAAGGTAGTAGAGTTCCCACATATCCCTCATATGGCTTCCCCTATTAGCATTATATTACATTAGTAAGGTACATTTGTTACAATTAATGAATCAACATTGAGACTTTTAAAAAATAATAATTTATTTCCATTTGTTATTATTATTTGACCAGACAGAGAGAGAGAGAAAGAAAGGGAAAATGAGAAAGCAAGCCTCCAGGTCTGGCTGGGACTTGAACCACGGTTGGCCATAACCACAGCCACCTGCCGCCCTGAGACATTATTTTTTAATTTAGCCATTTCCTTTGGACAGACACTGGACAGTGTCCTCATGCCATGACCCCCCCCCCCGCGCCCTGCAGGTGCCAGCTGTGAAGCTGTGCTTAGCAGGGATCACTAAGAGAGAGATCACAGCATTGCTGAGGGGGTCACAGAGAGGATTACAGAGCACGTCCTGGAATCATAGCCTCCACGACGACAGCCTGTGGGCGGAGGTGGGGGGATCATGGAGTGCTGTACGGGGATTACAGTGGGTTTAGTGGGGGGGATTACAGTGGGTTTAGTGGGGAACACTACGTGCTGAGTTGAGGTCACGTGCTGAGCGAAAAGGAGATCACGGCGTTGTGAGCAGGAAGGAATCACTGGGTGCTTAGCCGGTATCACAAGGTGCTGTGCCAGGGGAGGTCACTGTGTGCTCAGCGAGGATCTTGGCTCAGGGCTAAGACACCCTAACCAAAGCCCACACTCTACCTCTCCTGAGCTTTTTGCCCCATGTCCCTGAAAGTATCCCAGACAGGACTTCCGTTTCGTTCAGCCCTTGGGGAACTTGGGCTCCTCCTGGCCTAACAGCGACTCCACTCTCCTTGGGCCCTTGATTCGACAGCTTTGGGGACTGCCAGGTTCTGGCGAATGTCCCTCTGTCGGGCTTTTAAGTGCTATCATGGTTGCATGTAGCTGGGGTTACAGGCAGTTAGAAGGAAGGCCACAGCGCTGAAGGTCAGACCCACCACTCGGCTGCCAGTAACTGCTGCGGACACCCTGCCCGGTAGCAGCTGTGCCTAGGCACGCCAGACAAGACGCGGGAACAGCGGCGCGAACCTAGTTACTCCCGGGTGGGGCTTTTAAAACTGACCAACCACAGTGAGCTCAGGGATCTAGTTATTGGTCCGGATGCAGGAGGCGGGCAGATCAGCGCACCAATCGGAGGTGGGCTGGCGGCAGGGGCGGAGCTCCACGCTAAGCGCCCTTCGGGCGCGCGTGCGCGCGACAGCAGTGAGGTCCTCTGCCTGGCCGCGTCCGCGGGGCGGGCGGCGGGCGGTGCCACCGTCGCGTGACAGTTGTGGGGTAGGGCACGCTAGGGCGAAGGGGAGGGAGTGTAAATAGAGCGAAGGCGGCACCGCGTCGGCCCCGCCACCTCCCAGCCGCCAGCGAACGGCTCACGGGGAAATGGAAGAAGATGAACAAGAACAGCGGCGCAAGAAGGTGGAGGCCGGGAGAGCAAAGGTAAATGGCAGCATCCTTCTCCCGCTGCTGGTGTTAAGCCTCGAGGGCGGGATCCGGCGTCCGCCATGAGCCACCACCGCCTGCTTCCATGCGCATTTGCGGTCTGGTGGAGCGCCGCCACGGTTTTGCCCTCCCTGCCGGCTCCGGTGGAAGTTACCTCCTGGCCGCCGCCATCTTGAATCCGCCGCCGTCCGTCCGGGCCCGCCCCCGCTGCGTCCGCAGCCAATTAGCGCCGGGAAGCGCGGCTCCTCGCGGGCAGCCGGGGCGCGGGTCACGCCCGGAAGGGGTGAGGTGGGCGGGCTTGGCTGGTCCGCTGGCGACAGCTCTCCCCGGACCGGGCCGACTGGGTTTGCGGCTGGGCCCTGTCTGGGCCCGCGCG